CTCCACTAAGATAATTTCGAATAGAGCCAGGTGTTAATGATCTACTTAAAAACTGAAGATATAAGCAAATAATGTCAATCGAGGCAGGCAGAGSTGCGAWCGAGAAATAATCACAAAAGGAAAAATAAGTTCGCCATTGCGTGAGGTGATTGCTCGTASTTCCAGCGGCGWAGGCAGCTCGGCGAGTACTCTTTAATTCTTGTCTGAGAACCTTTAACTCCCGGTCTGGAAAGGAAGAGGACAACATCAACAGAATGTGAGTTCAAAGWGCTCCGGTGGCACGAGCACCTCCGTTYGTGAGCCCACTAATTGAGCAAATTGCTCGCGAAAGTGGTCTCCCATATGCCAGMGRGACAACAAATCCGCAAGTCGATTATCCTCGCTGTGCAGATAGACTGCGCGAATTTCGAAATCGTTAGTAGACGCAATGTACCAGATGTCTCGCAAACACGCCGCCAGCAAAGGATCCTTCACCTTCCCGGACGAGAGGGCAGACACAACAGCTTGATTATCACAAAACACTTGTATACGTAGACCTGTCCATCGTTCACCCCACAATCGTAAGGCAACTAAAATTGCGAGAGCCTCAAGCCGGTGAATGTCAACAAAACSCGACCGAATACAATCGGGGAAGACAGTATGAAAATACTCTGTCTGTGAAACACCCCCACAGCCAGTCAAGCAAGCGTCGGTGGAGAAGACAACATCKGGCGCACTCCATGGAGAGGACGAGAGGAAGGAAACACCATTATAGGAACKTAGAAAACGACACCACCACAAGAGATCCAGACGAAACTCAGAAGTGAGACGAAGACGATGATGATTGCGTTGGAGAGAACGTAACGAGGCCAAAAGACGAGCCAAGAACAAACGACTCTGACGAACACATTTAGAAACGAAAGAAAGTTTCCCTATCAGGGACTGAAGTTCGGTCTTGGTCGCAGATTCTTTTTCCAACCAGTTTCCCAGCAAGGTTTCAATCTCACAGAGACGTTGAGGCGTGACGGACATGGTCATGTTATTGGTGTCAAATTGAACTCCTAAACAAGTCACAACAGTGGAAGGTTCGCACACTTTATGAGAAGATTCCTCGAGTCCCAGCTCATCGAGAAGAGCGCCGCAATAAGAGAAACTCGTCCAGGCCGAATCAGGCGTTGAAACTCCAATAAAATCATCTAAGTAGCTGAGAACGTCATGTCCATGTGACAGACAAATGAAACACACAGCGTTAGTTACCCTCTGACAAGCCATAGCAGCCGATCGGAGACCCATGGGTAGTACCACATCAAAATACAAGTCATTGTTCCAACGATAGCCTAACAGTGGATAATCAAAAGGATCAACAGGCAGTTGGCGATATGCACGACGTAAGTAACGTTTGAATGTTAAGGCACCAGACCCATGAAGACATATAAGCGAAGCAATGGAGTCGACGGTAGGATACACGAGTGAGATGTCTTCATCCAAATAACGATCGGTAGAAACACCA